TTTTACAAATATAGGATATTATTCCTTTTTAAATTTATCATTGATATTTAAGAGAATAGTAAAAAAAAAAAAAAAAAAAAAAAAAAAAAGAAAAAAAAAAAAAAAAAAAAGTAATGGTTATAAATGTATGTGTTTACTTATTTATATTGGAAAACATATATTATGAAAAAATCAAGGTTACAGAAATTTATCAACACACATATGTATTTGTATATTTTATTAATTTACTTTTTTTTTATTTTTACCATTTTATTTATTTATTATTTTTTTTTTTTTTTTTTTTTTTTCACATTATTTAAAGAATATATGTATATATACACATGCATATACATATATATATATATAATTTTTTCTTCATTTTTTACTCTTTAAATAATGAATGATATTAACTCCCCACATGTGTCAAGCATTACTTTTATTAATAGTAATGGTGTAATAATTACAACAGAAATTAAAAAATCAAATAAAAAAATGAAAGGAAACTTAAATGATGAAAGCAATTATGTTTTTTATGAAAAAGATTTAGATCATATTAAAAATGTTGTTCTTACTTTAAAGCCATTTCATAAAGAATTTGAAGATAATGTAATATTTAGAATTAAAAAAAGAGAAGATAAATATCGCTGTGAATGGGTTTTACTTCTTAAAACAATTAAAGAAGGTATAAAAAATGAAAACAACAAAAATTTCACAGATATAGAAGAAAATGAATGTGGAAGTGTTGAAAAAGAAGAAATAGAAGAAAAAACATTTGAATGTAATGATATAAAAGATATTATGTTGAAATATGTATATTGTATTACGTATTTTGATAATTACATTGGAAATTTAAGAAAAAAAATTGCAAAAAGTAGTTCTAAGAACGATAATTTTATTAATGAATATATCAAGATAAATCATGATTTTGCGAAAAATAATTCGAAAAGTGATTTTATGAATGAATACTTGAAAATTAATGATAATTTAGATAATGATAGAGATGTTAGCTTTGATAATTTATCTAAAAATAATAAATTGCTAATGAATAATAATACCTATAATAGTTTAAATGAACAAAATTTTAAATTTTCAACAAATCTTAACAATCATAACAATAATATAATTAATGAAAATATGAATAATATTAATTGTAATAAATATAATAATAATGATATTAATAATGATTCCAATAACATAAGTATATTAAGAAATTATGATAGTGTTGATCACGATTTAAAACAAAAAATTGATAATAAAAATTTGATTAAATACAATTTCTGTGATGTTGTAAATAATAATTCTAATTATAATACTAACTACAATTCTCTACCCTATAAAGTTGATGATTTTTACGATTTAACTGAAGATAATTCATTAAAAAGTTATAATGATGATCATGTAAAATTATTTAAAAGATTACTTTATAATAATTGTAATACAGAGGAGAATAAAGCATTAAATGATTTTAATAAAAATGTAAGTTTCAATAAATTAGGGATGAATGATAATTACTATGGTTCACATAAGATAAAAGACGAAATGACTAACTATAACAAAAGAAATTTATTGATGAATAATGAGAATTCTTTGATAGATTTGATTGATTGTAATAAGAATACTACTAATAAGAAATCAAAAAACGAAAATAAATTTTTACAAATTTTGGAAAAAAATTTAAATATTTTAAAATATAAGAAACCAAACATGTTTATGAATGATGAATCTTTACGAAAAGAACTAGTTCAATTTTTAAAAGATAATGAACATGGAAAATTGAACGATAATAAATTAGTTAAAAATAATATAAAAGATATATATCAAACAGAAGCAAAAAAAAATTCTTTTTATCAAGAAAATATAAACAATTTAAAAAAAATATCATCAGGTACTTTAAATTATTTCACTAAAAAAAATAACAATATGAAATGTAATTTTCATCAGGAAAATGTTAGCATTAATTCATTATCTAATAATTTTCTAGATTTTTCTGGTACATCTATAAGTAGTGAAAAAAATATAAATATATTTGATGAAAAAAATAGAAAAGTAGAAAATAATAACTTAAGTGATAAAAATGATGAAATTAATATAGAATTAATCAAATTATTTTTGAAAAGTCAAATAAAAAATAATGATAATAGAATCTTAAATGAACAAACTAAGTTAAATGAAAATTTTCAAAAATTACAAAAAAAAACTTATTTAGAGCAAAGAAAGAACGAAGATGAAACAAACACTAGTTTCCTTTTAAGTGATAAAAATTATGAAAATCATGATAAATCATCTAATGAAAATAATAATATTTTTAATAAAACTAAAAATATATCGGACATTAATGAAATACAAATAGATATAAATAAAAAAAAACTTGAATTTAGAAATAGGAAAAAGGAATTAGACAATAATCGTGGAAATTCTATTCATTTTAATGAAATAAAACATGCAAATGAACTAAGTGAAAATGAAAATAATTTAAAAATAAATGAATTAAATGAAAATGAAAATAAAAAAGAAGCAATGTCATCAAACCCTCACTATGAATATATCGTAAGTGAAATATTAAAATTTATGATTAAACTTAAGAATGGTAATTCAAGTAATATGAAAAATGATATAAATGAAATTGATACAAATCTTCTTAATAATACTATAATAAAATTTGTTAGAGATTTAACACCAAATGAAATGAATCAATTAATTTCAAATAAGGATTACATTTTTTCCAAAATAATAAATGATAAATATGCAAATGTAGAAAAAAGTAATGTTGATAATTTAAAAAGTCGTGATTGTATTTATTTAAATGCCAATAATGAATTACCACAAGCATGTAACAACCTTATAATGAATGCATATAAAAATAATACAAATGATGATGAACAGCCACACTTTTATAATAATACAAATATTTTACATTTAAATAAAAATAAATCAAAAGATAAACATTTTGATGAAAATTTTTTATTTAATTTAAAGAAACAAATTGAAAATGATACTAACAATACAATAAGTAGTAAAAATTTAAATATAACTAACATGATAAAAACAAACATGATAAATAATTTAAATTATACAATGGATAATTCACAAAATGTTATATTTTATAATAATAATAATAAAATTAAATTAAAGGGGGAAAAAACAAAAAAAAGAGGTTCAGATAGTTTGGACAGTGATGATCATTTTATAGAAGATAGAAAGATGAAGGATGTTAAAATATGTAAATCTAAAATAAATAAAATTAAAAATAATATTATTAATTCCAATGATGACATTAATTTGATTAATACAAAAATTTGTGAAGAAATTAATAATGGTAATAATAATAACAATAATATTCATGATAATAAGAGCATATTTAAATTATCAAATGAAAATATAGATCTTTTATATAATTATTATTTACATGTTTGTAAAAATAATATGATGTATTCTAATTTATATAAAAACAATAATAAATTATTAGATAATTCAAATACTAATTATGTAAATAATATAAATTCTCAAAGTAACATAAATATACACAATAATAATATTAATAATATGAGTAATAATAATATTAAAAGTAATAATCATATTAACAATAACATTAATAGTAATAAAAGTATTAAAAATCAAATAGATCCTATTAAAAATTGTATTAATATTAACAATAACAATAAAAACATTAATAATAATAATATGAATATGAATTGTAATGATAATTACAAAAATACAAGAAATGTGACAGATCAGGTAAATAAAATATTCCACAATTGCTTTTGTAATTTAAAGAACCTTAATGATAAAACTATATGTAACAAATTATTGAACCATGGAAACGATAGCAAAAATTATGAAAATTTTATAAATAATTTAAAAAATAATCATAAAGTTACCAATTTGAAGAAAAATGAAGAAGAATTAAGTGAAAACATAAAGTTAAATGATCGATCTCAATGCAGTAAAAATAATACAGAAAACAACAGTTTTAGTAAAGGTAGCATTTTGCAGAATTATCATTCAAACAACTTATTAAATATTGTAAAAAATAAAGAAGTATGTGACAATAAAAAAATGACAAATAATATGAATATTTTAGAAAGGATAGAAACTTTTAAAAAGTTTGAAAATGAATTTAAATCTTTTATGAGTAGATATCAAAATAATGAGTTTCTAAATAATTATCAGAAAAATGTAACTCAATTTGTAGAAGATTTTAAAAAGAGAAGAACATCCAATTCTCACCATGATCTTCCAAATAATGCTAATTTAAATTTGAAATATAATGATGAACATATTTTAAAAGCTATTTTAATAAATATGATAAAAGAATTATCTAATTCAAAAAATTACCTAAATAAAGATACATCTGGTTCAAAAAATAATAATAATAATAATAATAATAATCATAATAATAATAATAATCATAATAATAATAATAATAATAATAATAATAATAATAATAATAATAATCATAGTAATAATAATTTATCTTTTAATGAGTGTAATAAAAAAAAAAATTCATTAAATCTAGATAAAAATGCATATAAAAATATAAATAGTAATATGAATCAGCAATTTCATAATAATATTAATAACAATGTTAACTATAATGTAAATATAGATACATTTAAGAATATATATAAAAAACTACTTATAAATAATAATTTAAATAATACGAATAATTGTTATAATAACTATTGTCATAGTAATATTATTAATTTTAATAATTGTAGCAATAATAATTATTATTACAATAATAAAATTTTAAATCAAAATGTAAATAATATAGCGAAAGTTGATGAGTATAATAATATGAATATTTATAATAATATGAAATGCAATACTAGTAAAAATATGGATATTAATGCAAACACTCACATTAATAAACAAACAAAAAATGTTAATACAAGTACATTTAATATATTTGATAATAAAAAATCCCTTAATAATAATGATAATAATATTAATATTAATAATAATAATGATAATATTAATATTGCTACCACTACGACTACTACTACAACTACTACTACTACAAATAATAATAATGATAATAATAATAATAATGATAATATTGATAATAATAATAATAATAATAATAATAATAATAATAATTCATGTTTTTTCTTTAATAATAATTATATTAATTCATCAAAAAACTTGATTAATGATGAAATTATTTTAAATAAGGAAAATAATTCAAGCATTAAAAAAGATGATATGAATACAAATATTAGTATGATTAATTTATATACCAATAATTATCAAGAAATTAACAAAATGAAAGGTATAGAAAAAGAATTTTCTCAACAGCATATTAAAACTAATTTATATGATGAGAAGGTTTTAAAAAATAAAAGCAATAATTATAAAAATGATAACATTTCAAATATAGAAAGTAATACAATCATTGACTCCTTGTTTAATAATAATGATCGTAATTTAAATCCATTAAAATTAGATGATGATATGAGTAATACAGATAAAATTAGAAGAAAAGAAATTTTCGAAGAATTTCAAATAAAAAATAAGGAAAAATATTCTTTTATTTTTAATTCCAATATAGATGATTCCTCTACTATTTCTAATTTCTCCAATTGTACGCAAAGCTTGCAAAGTATTAATGATTTAAATAGTAATCAATGTGATAATTTTAATATACCAAAAAAAGATGATATAAACATTAAATTAACAGAAAATTTATTACAAAATAATGATATTAATATTGATAAAAATTATCATTTAAACAAAAAAAAAAAAAAATTTTTTATTGACCTTAAAAGTATGAAGCAGAGTAATCTTAAAGAATTGTTATTGAAAAAATTATGTTACCAAAATATGAGTAAAAATTACAATTCAGAAAAAAATTATCTTGAAAACAGTATGCACTTGATAAAAAGCAAAAATAAAGAATGTGTATATAGAAGTGTATATAATGATAAAAATTCCAATAAATGTTATGATATAAATGTAAAAACCAGTTTTTATAATAGCTATTCATCATATAGTTCTTTAAATATAAATTTCTTTTGCCTTTTTGATGATATGTATGAAAATTTTTTTAAGAATGATTTTGAAGACCGTGAAAAAATGATAAAAATACTAAACCTTGATAAGGACGTCTGCTATAATCAATTGTTAACTTTTTATAAAAAAAAAATATTCTTTGAAAGTATAGACGAAAGAGAAAAAAAGAATTTGTTGAATTCATATAGTGGAACTAACTTAAATAAGAACAAAAATATAATAGATGATAAAAATCTATTAGTTTTAAAAGATTTCCATATGAATAATATTACATTAGTAGATAAAGAACATTATTATAATCATAATAAAGATTTATTATATAACAATGATATAATGCGTAATAAAATATATTATAATTTAAAAGATGAAAATGATTTGAATAGTTTTAAATTTAAAGAAGAAGTAGATTATTTTAAAAAGCTAATAAGTGATATGGATAATTTTAAACAATTATATAATATCAAAACAAACAATAAGAATAGTTCTGATATTAAAAATAATAAAAGAAATTTTATGAAAACTTGTAATAAAAATATAAATATTGATGAAACAGTAATAACTAATTTAAATGATATAAATAATGAAAATATTGAAGAATGTGATAAATCTATTAAAGAAAAAAATGGAAATTTTTCCGATTTAGAAATAGGATCATCATTAATTGAATTAAATAATTCGCAATTAAAAAATAATATTCTTAATGATAATAATATTAAATTTAACGACAAAAAAGAAATAAATATTGAAAAAGATAAGAACAATAAAGAAGAAGAAGTAAGTAATGAAAAAGGAAAAATTACTAAAATTTCAGTAAATAATACAAAAGAAAAATGTGATATAAATGAAGGAATTGATGAAAAAAAATATATGGATAATTTTAAAGAAAATTTTAGTGATAATTCTTTTGATAGTGATAATGCACATGAATTATTGGAAACTGTTTTTGAAAAATCTGAAGATGAAGAAACAAAAAATGATATTATAAATCATAAAAACACTATTGAATTTGAGATAAATATAAAAAACTTAGAAGAGGAAAGTAGTGTAATGTTTAAATTTATATCTCACAAAATCAACTGTATAAGAAATAATATGTGGAATCAAAATATTGAAGAGTTACAAAATAAAGAAATAAATGAATTATTAAAAAACAAAGGAAATGAAAAGATTTCTGATATAAGTAATGAGAAAAAAGAAGATACTAACAATCCGAAAAATGACATTTATTATTTTAATATATACACTAATGTATGGGAAAACGTTGACTTAAATGTTAGTCATAAATTATTAGCATCTTTGCAACTAAAAAAAAAAATAATAAATAAATATTATAAAAATGATTACGAAGATAAAAATTTTATAACATTTAGTGAATGGAGTATTTATAATTTAATAATATCAAAAATATATAAAAGTATAGATATGAAAAAATTTGAAGATTATCAATTGAAAGTATATAAAATGAACAAGTTTCAGTATGAACTAAAAAAAAGAAGCACTTATAATTTTGGAATTAAAGTAGTAGGAAATTTATATTCTAAAAAAAGTTATCAACAAAAGAATAAAATAAAAGAATATAAACTGAATGAAAACAATAAAAATTCTAAAAATTCGGAAGAGTATTCTGATATCTATGAATATGATGATGATGATATAGAAGAAGATGAGGAATATGACTATGAAGAAGATGAAGAAGAAGAGGAAGAAGAAGAAGAGGAAGAAGAATGTTTTAGTACGGAAAAAGATTCAAAACATGAAATTATAAATGATACTGATAGTGAAAATAATAATGATAAAAATAAAAATGATAATAAAGAATATCATATATGGAATCATATGGACAAAAAAGGTATAAAAGAAGAGAAGGATAGTAAAATTATAATCGTTGATAATGAAAAAAGAGAATTAAGCAATCTTAAAAATGCATTAAATTCAAATGAAGAAAAGGAAAGTTTTGAAGAGAAAGGGAATAATGGTAACAAAAGCATGCTACTAAGAAGAAAAAGAAGAAGTAGTATGGTAAATATTAATTATAATGAAAATATTTTAAATAAATTAAGTAGTAAAAGAAATAAAAAATTAAAAGAAAATGATAAAACAGAAAAATCAAATCATAGTTCTTATGATATATCATCTAAACAAAAAAATATTAAAAATAAAAAGACTCAAATGTTTAAAAAAAAAATAAGAGGAAGAAGAAATTTTAACACTATGAAAAATAAAAAATCGAACTTTTATTACTTAATACAATTACCAGATTATGCAAGTTATAAGGAATTAATAAAAAGTAAAAGTGAATGTTTACCAACATATATATTACAATATGAGCATTTAAAGAAAAATGAATGTATTTTTTTTAATATTCAGAATCATTATAATAGTTTTATTAATAATGTTTATCATTTCGCTATTAGTTATGAGCAGTCATTGAAACATAATGAATATCTTAATAACACATTAAATAATGTTAAAGCGAGATTACATATTAAGAGATTATGTTTAAAAAAAAACATTACAATTAGAGACAACATTTATGATATATGTAATACTTATTTTAACGATTTATATACATATGATTCTAATCATCATACGTTTTTTTTTCAGAATTCTAAGAAGATTAAAATGAATGAAATAGAAAAGATGATAAATAATCAAGATTATTATAGTAACTATGTGAATGATTATTTAGAAAATGAAACATTAAAAAAGAAGAAAAAAAAAAACGTAGCAAAATTAAATAATATAAATAATAATCAAATTAATGAATTAAGTCATAATGTTATAATAAAAAAAGAACCAAATTATTATAATCATATAAATTCTTATATAAATAATGATTCTAATAAAAAAGAAATAGAATATAAAAATTCTTTAGTTAATGAGGAATTTAAAGTAGGAAAAACTAATAATATAGTATACTCTTCTTCAGATTTAGATAACAAGGATCTCTGTGATAATTTGAATTACCTAAATTATTTTAATGATAATAACAATAAAACTAAAAAAGATTTTTCGTTGAATGAAAAAACACCTGAGGAGGAACAGGAGATTGGGAATAATACAGTTGAATTTGACGTTTTTAAATATGAAGACAATAGCTTTTTTTCAAATACTAATACAAGAACTAATAATTTTGAAAATATTAATGATAGAAATCAGTTTAATAATACAAGGGAAGATTTTCTTAATTATTATAATAAAAATACTAATAATCTATCTTTCTATAAACAAGATAAAAGAAAAAATAAGAAGTGTAATAATAAAAATAATGAATTTTTTTTTAATGGGAGTGTAAACCATGATGATATAATACAGTATATTGATATACAATAAGAAAGCATATATACATATATATATTTTATATATGTTTATTATATTTGTTGCTATTTTTTATGTACCTTTTTTATAGCTTCTATTTATTTATTTTTTTATGGTTTGTTATTAAGTTTCTTAAAGATTTAAATTTTTTTTTTTTTTTTTTTTTTTTTTTTTTTTTTTTTTTTTTTTTTTTTTTTTTTTTAATTTTAAGTTTTTAATGAAATATAATTATTTATAGATATATATGTTAGCATATTTATATATATGTCAATGTTTTATGAATATATAATAATTTTTTTTAATAAAAAAAAATAAGTTTATATTATTTTAAAATTTTTTTTTTCTTTTTTTTTTATTAGTTTTATAAATCTGTTATATACTCTAATTTTTTAATATTAGTATACCATGTTTTGTTATAATTTACGCTAAATATAATGATTTTTTTCTTATAATTTTATTTGATTTATTAAAAAACCTTTTTAATAAAATTATTTAACTTATTATTTAAAATTATTGATAATTTTCCTTTGTTAAATTAAACATTTTGATATTCTTAAGAAGAAAAAATTTTATATATCTTAAAGTTAAGAAATTACATATTTTATGAGAAACTTTTTTTTTTTTTATATATGTTAAAGGCATATCTTTTATAATATTAAAAAGCTTGTAATTGATAAAAATATAATTTTTCCAATTCTTACTCATTAGATACTTAAATTTTTTTCTATTAAATAAGTCCTTACTCTTATTATAAAATTTAAGCCATTTTAAAAAGAAATATGTATATATATCTTTTTTATATTAAAAAACTATTAAAACATTAGAAATTATTTTGAATTGTTTTCATAATATAAAAAAAGAAAAAAAAAAAGACAGAATTATTCTATTTTTTAAAATGTATTAAATATAAAGAACAATTTTTTTTTCAAAGTATATTATGAACATTTTATAAAAATATTCACATTACTCATTGAATTGTATTTATAAATTTACATAGAAGAAACCAGTACTTTTTGCTTTTTTATTTTGTAAAATAATATATTTATCATTACGAAGCAAAAAAAAATTTTGAAGTTTCAAAAAAAAAATTTTCATGCATGAGATCTCATTTTAAAGTGAAAATTCAAAGAAAATTTTTTTTTTTTGTATTTCTATTTTTTAGACATTTTATATACAAAATAAACAATTTCTTGGGTACTTCAATTTCTATTTTTAGAAGAATAATTGTAAAAAAATGATAAGTTAAGACTTGAAAAAAAAAAAAAAAAATACATTTTTTTTTATAATCATATTTCTCAATACAATATTTATAAAAAAATTTTCTTTTTTTTTTTTCGACTTAAATATTTTATATTCTACTTATATATTATTTTTTTTACTTTTATAATTATTTTTATTAAAATAAAATTAATACATTATACATTTCCTTTTTTTATATTTTATGAATTTAAAAATATAATAAAACATGAAAAAATTTTTTTTTTAAAATTTTATATTAATACATATTGGTAAATTCAAAAAATAAATAAAAATAAAAAATGAATTTTAAATCAATTAAATTATCGACAGTCTTTATTTTTTTTTTTTTTTATTTACGAATATTTAAATTCCGTTTTTGAATTTTTCATGAAGTTTATATTCTGTATTATCTTTTAAGATGTACTACATTTAAAATTATTTTTTTTCTTTATTTTAGATCCAAATTAAAAAAAAAAATATATATGTATAGATATATATAATCAAGAAATAAATTATTAAATTAAAAAAATTATAAATTATAAATGTAAAGAAAAAAAAAAAAAAAAATGAAAAAAATATTTTTTTGTTTACTGCTTATAATTATAAATTCAATAACTTTTTACTGTAATAATATTGATAAAATAAAAAGTCATGATAATATAGAAGAGGAAAGAAAGGATAATGAACAAGATGACAATAGTTTAAATAACAATAAGAAAAAAAAAGAAAACACAAATGAAAATTTATCACCTAATAATGGTGAGGAATCTACATATGGTTCTACAGATAATAAGAACAATATTTCATCAAAAATACCAAAAGGAAATAAAAATGAAATAGAGGAAAAGTATAATAAAATGTTTAATGATCATGAAGATGATACTAATGATATCTATGAAGATGATCTATACTACAATGGTGTAGATGATAGTGATATTTATGAAAAAGATGAGCAAGATGAAGATGTCGACGAGTATAATTTTGAAATACCTGTTAATTGCAATGATGATAACTGTTTAAATTCATTAGATGAATTAAATAAAATAATTGATGAAAAAAAAAAAAAAATTAAATATAGAAAAAATAAAGGAAAACCAATACAAATAATAAAGCCCAATGTAAATCACACAGAATTAATATTAATTGAAAAAAATTTACAAGTTTTAAAAAAAATAGAAAAGCCAATAGCTATTGTATCCGTATTAGGAGATATGCACACAGGAAAATCATTTTTGCTGAATTTATTGAATGAACATATTATTAATGATATTAACAAAAGTAAAAAGTTTATTGAAAATGGTTTTAAAGTAGGAAACGATATAACTGCAAGTACATATGGAATATGGATATGGTCAGAACCAATTAAAATAAATGTCAAAAAATTAAAAAAAATATATGATTATATAGATAAAAACTTTACAAATTTTATTAGAAGTTATGAATATGAAAAAGATGAATATAATGAAGAAATTATTGATTTATTAAATTTATACAAAACCGATGATTGGATTACTAAGATAAATGAATTAAACATTTCTGATACAGAAGAAGTGAACCTTGTATTAATGGATACACAAGGATTAAATAGTCCTAACGTTAATAAAAGATATGATGAAATCCTTTATGCATTAACCAATTTAATATCAACAGATATAATTTTTTTAACCATGAAAATGATAAATAATAAAGATTTAGAGTTTATTGAAAATATAACAAAAGATGCTAATTTATTTATGTTAAGGGCATATACAAGATCTAACGGTTCTACCTTTTCTATTAAAAAAAATAATTTTGATAAATTATTAGATAACATAAATAATATAGAAAATAATTCTTTAATATTAGAAAGTATTGCTTCAAAAAATTTGATGTGGGTTGTACACGATTTCAGTCAACGTTTAGATGTAAGGAAAGGAAAATTATGGTTAGATATTTTATTGAATTCTGATAGAAGAGATTTAGATATTAAATATTGGAAAAAAATAATTTCTAACAAAAGTAAAGATAAACATGACGCTTATACAACAAAAAAAAAAAAAATTGCCTATTTAACTTATCCAGAAAATAGTAATAATCTTACTAACGATTCCTCTTCTAACTATAAATTAAATGTTCTTTATAAAAATATTGATTGTGTCTTATTAAGAAATATGTATAATAACAAGGAAATTGATTTTACTAGAGTTAACATTGATGATTTAAATGATGAATATAAAAATGATGTTATGCTTTTAAGGTATAAAATTTACCTAAGAGCTTTACTGTATCCGAAAAAAATGTATTCAAATGTTCAGATGAATTTTATTGTAAATAAAATGAGAAAAGAACAAATGTTAGATCGTAAAGAAAAAGAAAATAAGAAAAATGAGAAAAATGAAAATGATACTAAGGATATCAACGAAAACAATGAAAACAACAGTGCAGAAGATTCATATTCTTCCCAAATGAGTAACAGATATATGTCTGGTCATGATGTATATGATTTTATTACCTTTTTAGTTAAATCCGCAAACCAAAACTTATTTACTAATGTAAATCAATTTTTCAAACAGTTTAAAATTAATAGAGCAGAAATCAGTAGAAACGATTTAATATTTTTATATAAAAAATATTTACTGCAATTTATGGAAAATGAAGAAGTAGAACTTATTAGTTACTTAAATGAAGAAAATGATGATTTAGATAGTACAGATGATAGATTTTCAAAGATGGATAGCAAAAAGGATACTGAATTAAATGATGGGGATTTTAGTAATATTTTAAATGAAGAAACAAAAAGTAAAGAAAAAACTGATATATATAGACTTCCTCCATTGCTTAATGAAATAAAAAAATACGAAGAATTAATTCGAGAACAAATTTTAAATATATGGTATAAATATACAGAAAGTGATTTTCATGATAGTGAGGAAAAAGAATTAATTAAAGATATTGAAACTAATTTATATGAACGATTAGATCAAATAAAAAATGAAATGATCGATTTAGGTGAATCAAATATTCGCAAATTTTGTAAATTAGCTTGTGAAGATGCATTGCAAATTGTTATAGAAGATATTAAAATGAAAAGTGATCAATATCCTATTAAGCAAAAGGATTTAATGACATTTTTTGAATCGGTTAGCTATAACTTACTAAAATTTTTAGAAAAAAAATTATCCAAAAACTCCGATAAACTAGATTTGATATATTATAAAGATCCAATTTGTAATCCTTTGATTAATAATACTTTTCAAGAATTTTATTATTTAAAAAAAAAAAATACTACTTTAAATGAAAAAAAGTTAAAATTATTCTTTTCTAATGCAGTTTCTAAAGGGAAAGAAGTTTTTGAAGCATTAGCGGATAACACTGATAACATAACCGAATATTTTAAAAGTAAAAATATATTTTACACTATTTTAGACAAATGGAATTTAGAAGCAGTAAATGTATATACGGCAACTTTAAGTGATTTTTTTAAGGATGAAAAAGAACTGAGTGAAGAATATTTAAATGTTTTAGATAACGACATAAAAAATCTAAAAAGAAAGGCAATGGATAAATGGCATAATCATTGCAAAGAAAAAACAAATGCTTTATATAATATGCATAAAAGTAATTTAAAAAAAAATTTTCTTGATAATTTTAATTTTCCTTTAGATGAATTGGTGTTACAAGATATATATTTAAGTTTAAAAAGTCAAGAAGAATTAAAATATATGGACATATATTGCTCTAATGAAGAATCTTGGAATAGTGAATATAAAAAATTTTTAACATTAAGTGATGAAGTGTATAAATTTATAAAAGATGAAAATTTAAAAGCGATTCAAATAACATGTCAGCAACCACTGGATGAATTAAAAAACGGAATAAAGGGGGAAATAAAAAATTATTATTTTTGGAGATCTTTAAAAAAAACATTATATAATAGGGCGCTTATCGTTCTTTCTAATAATATTGAAAACATCTACTTGAAAAATAAAAGAGAAAATAAGATTCAATCTTCAATAGATGACAAATATAATACAAAGAGCAATCATTATAAAAAAATATCAAAAGAATTAATGAGTAAAGTTATAAACAGATGGCTGAATAATGATATTTATAAAGTTTATTATCCTATTATACGAAAACAATTAATTCATAAAATCATATGTTATATGGGTATTCTTGTTTTATTATTTATAACTTCAGTAGTTGTGTATTTCAAAAAGTTTCATGTTAGTTTTATTTTATTAATTGTTATTTCTTTGTTTATGGTGTTTGGGTATGCACAAATATCATCATTCCTTAAAAAATTTTTCAGACGTGTTGTATTTTATATGTATGAAGGTATAGCCAATGTATTTGGAACAGAAGGTGCTATTGTTTTTTCAATTTTATTAATTTCTGTAACAGCTATATATGTATATAATTATCACATTGTAAAATTTAAAAATAAAGTTGCAAAAAATACAAAAAAATTATTGCAATCACAAAATTTGATGAACATGTCAGGTATTAATAATTTTAAAGATTTTCATTCTACTTCTTCTAAAACAAGAATATTCAAACCAAATATATTAAAATTTTCTGATTTTGAAAAAGATACAAAATTTCACACATCTACTATACCTCATGATTATAAATTACATAATGAAACATCACAATTCATTGATCATAAAAGTAGGTCAAGTCGCTTAAATAAAATGGATGAATATTCATCTTTCAACAACCCGAATAAATTTCAAAGGAGATCCTATTTAGATTAGCATTTTATTTTAAACATAAGTTCATGTTTTAATTATTTTAGTTATTTTATTTTACTTATTATTTATAAAAGTATATAATTGTTAATTTTGTTTATATACTTATCATTATTTTTTTTTATCTTTTTCATATTACACTTATGATATTTTGTCTTAATATAAATTTTTTTTCTTTAATTTTTTTATATTTCTTGGATTTTTAAATTTAACTTTTTTTTTTTTTTTTTTTTTTTTTAATTATTTACGTTATATATCTTTATATATATTCTATATTTTTTTATTTTCATATATTTAAAAAAGTATGATATTGTTTTATATTAATGTTTATATAATCATTTTAATAGACATTGTTTTTTTTATTTTCTTTTTATATTTATATGGAAATGGATATTGTTTTTTTTTTCTTTTTTTAATTTTTCTATTATTTTATTATTTTTTTCTTTTTTTTTATATATGAAAATATAATAAAAATTGTTTTTTACATTGTTTTTCTTTTTTTTTTTTTTTTAATTTTTAAATATATTTAAAAAAAAAAAAAAATAATTTATTAAATAATTTGTAAAACTAAAAATGTTAAAAGGAAAAAGAATTATAATAAATATAAAAAAATTAGCTTATCTTTCTTTTATTTTTTAATTATCCAAAATAAAATTTCCGTTATGAAAGTTTCCATGAGATAAATATATATTTTTCTTCTACTAAAAAATGTTTTCTTAAAACTTCTAAGAAGATTTTTTGCCAGTATATAATGTGTTTCTAGTATCATCTAATCCAATTCTATCATGAACGTAATTTACTTTTTTGCTACATGTTTTTTCAAAAATATTTATCTCATCTATACATTTCGTTATGTCATCATTATTTTTATGTAAGCATAAAATTAAAGGTTGCATATTACAAACTACTTGTTCTTTTAATTTTGAACCAACCTTAAATTCACTCATCTATATTAAAAATAAAATTATTAAAATAAAAGTATTTAAAAAATATGGTAACTAAATTATTTCTTTTAAATAACTATATGTTTATATTTTATATATAATGTTTGAGGAAATTTAATTTTATAACTTAAATATACACAAAATTTTTTTTTCTTTGTATTTTTCATTATTTTAAAAAAGAAAATTGTTAAAAATAAAAAGTTTATGTAGTTTATATATACATCACATATAAATTTTAACATAAATATAAATTTATTAGTAAATTTAATTTAAAATTTCTTGATAATTTTTTTTTTTTTATTTCAAAATGCAAGTGTAGCACATAAATATTGTTACTACATAATAAAAAAAAAAAAAATTTTATAATTTGTTATTAAATTAATGTTATAAGTCAATTTTCTCTTTTTTATATTCTTTGATTTTTCCAATTAAATTACATTTACTCATAAATTATTAGAATATTTAATTTTTAAAAAATATTTTTATAGTACAATTGAAATGAAACTAGATACCGATGAAATATTCAAAAATTATAACCATAATGAAACAATAAAAATTATTGATAATCTTAGAAAAGAAATAATTAAAAAAGAAGATTCAATTAAAGATTTTTTAAAAAAAAAAAATACTAGTGTAATTAAAAATACAATTAAAATTAAAAATATATATGGAAGTGTGGAAAAAATAAAATCTAACTTAGAAGAAATAATAGTTAATTATAATGAACTTATAAATGATATAAAGAATAAAAACTCACTTTATTTTAAAGAATCATATGCAAAAGAATTAAGCGATTCTGAAAAAAATGTTGTGAAAGATGTGTGGTTGAAAAAATATGATAATTATGAATTTTTGTTTAATATTTCTATTTTAAATAGTGATTATTGTTTTGTGAAAAAAAAAAAAGAAGAATTAATTAATTATGATTTCTTTTATTTAAACAATTATATTAATAATGTTTATTTTGATATTAACAAAAGAGTTAGTGAGGAAGATTACATATTTGCCCTAAATCAAATTTATACAGACATTTTTATATGTCTAAAAGTTTTACAATCTATTCTTAAAAACGATAAAATAAAGGAAACATACAAAAATATGTTTAAAAATGAAAATTGTATTTATTGTTTAAATTCTTTTGTGAAAAATCATAAAGATAATTTTTGCGAAATAATATTAAAATTAATCTATTCTTCTTTTTTTAATTTAACATATAATAATTCATGCAAAATCAAAACAATACCAAAATCAATAATTATATTATTAATCTTCTACAATAAAAATAACTGCCAAACATTGGATATTATAAAAAATGATTTATTTTACGAAATATTTACTTTGCGGATAAATCTAATAGATAAATTTATTCAAAAAAAAAGTAATATTAAAGATTTTAATTTTGAAAAGTTAAAAAATTACTTTAAAAAAATAATAAATTTAATTTTAAATAGCAAATATATACTACTCTTGTTAATTCATACAAATAACGTAGAATTCCAAAATAAATTAAAAGGTGAAGAAAATAAATTTTCATTGGAATGTTATTATGACAAATATGTGGATAATAATAAAAATGAAAATAACTATTTAATAGAAGAAAATAAAAAAAATGAAAGTAGTTCTCCTTTTGAGAATTTTAATGAGAACGAAAATAAATTTTTAGAAAAAATGAAAAATGAGATATTTATTTTACAAAACGTATGCAATAAAAATGAGACAGAGATAAAAAAAATTAAGGAATATTTTAATTATTCTATAAATAGCATTGAAGAAATAAAAAATATTTTGAATAAAAATAGTATTGATAATTTTAGGTTATTATATAAAAGCTATATAGAATGTGTTAACAAAGCGTATAAATATATGATAAATTTATTACAAGAATATTATAAGAATAAATATATAATGTGTAGTGATTTCTTCAAAGAATATACAAGTATTAGAATATTTTATAACGAAATTAAAGAAAAAATATGTTTCAAAGAAAAGTATTTTAGTACATTTATTAGCAATGTTAATTCTTACATAAACGATAACTATTTAAATTTTATTCTCGAAAAGGTATTTGAAATATTTTTCTTCTTTTTTTTTAATAAGTCTATAACTGCAGTTCCATTTTTTGATATGAAACCAGTTAATAAATGGAAATTTATAATTAGAGATATATTTCGAAATTTGTTTTATAACGTATCTTTATTTTATGAGAAGAAATTTGAAATACAGAATTATATATTTTATTCTTTTGTTTTAAATTCCTTTTATTTCTATTATGAATTTTATAATATTGATTTAAAATTAATATACACAGAATTTTTAAGAATTGAAAATTTTACTAGTAAAAATAGTAAAATAAAAAAAAGTTTTCAAAAAGAATTATCCGAATATTTTCTCACAAATAAAAATGTTTTAAAAGAAAAATATTTTCATAATGACTTCAAAAGAATTATAAAAGAAAAAATTCATCCATTAATTTATAGTGCTTATAAATTAATAATATTTATTGATAGCAAAGAAATTAAGGAAACTGGAAATGTTGATTTTTTATATATGTATGAAAATATAAATTGGAATGATTTTTATAATATATTTCATGCATTTAGTAATGTTTTAAAATATTATAATAATGAAAATGATGATACAGATAATATTAACTCAAAAAAAAGAAATATTTTGCTTACCTTTTTTAAATCATTTAATTCAGGAAAATCTGAAATTATAAATCCTGTTAATAATAAATCTGATTATTTTAGCAACATTATTAACTGTACATCAAATCACATAAGTAATAATAATATCAACGAAATGAACGAAAATATGATTTCTCGTAACTCATTTAATATATTAAATAATAATGAAGATATTCAAAAAAAAGAATTGTCTAATGAGGAGAATAAAGAACTGTATTTTTATATAAATCTTATTAGATTTAATAGTAAACTGTCATTTAGCAAATTTTTAAATTGTTATGAAAATTTAGAGAAAACTATTACATTAAATGATGATAATATAAATAAAAATAATTATGATTTTCACGAAGAAAAAATTTTAGGTGAAGATTTACAAAACGAACCAAATTTTTGCTTAAATGATTTGAAAAGTATATTTTTTACTTTAGTTTATAATATTTTTAAGATTTCACTAGAATGTTTTTGTTTAGAATATTTTGAAAATTTAAAAAGTTATTTAGATCTTTTTCTGAATATGTTATTAAATAATGAAATAAAAAATATATTATGTGAAAGGATGAATTGCCATTTAATAAATATATTAATTTTTTCAAATATATACATAATATACATTGAAAAATTAATGAAAACAGATATATATAGAAGTATTGTAATATTCATAGTGAAAACTATTCTTCAGAGAAGAATTTACAAGATCTATTACAATTTTCTTAATAAATTAAAGGAGCATTATTTTTACGAAGGAAAAAAAGAAAATGATAAGAAAAATTTATTGAACACAAAAATAACAGAATTGTATAATATCATATTACTAGATTTATGCTTTTGCGAACAAGTTTTAGATAAAAATACGATTATAAATAAATCTTTTTATGAAAGTCTTATTTTAAGATATAATGAAAATAAAAAATACTACATAAAATCTTGTTTTTATTTTATTCATATATATAAAGAAAAATACAACGTCTATAGTGAAAAAAAAATTAATGAAAATAATATAAAAAAGCATAAGTTATTTTTAAAATTAAATCAAAAAGATAAAAAGGAAAAAAAAAAACTTTCAAGTTATTTGTTAAAAATAATCATTGATGATATCTTAACAGAGTTAAATAAATTAGATAATCTTAATACTATAATTTTTCAAAAACACATACGCCTATCAGCACAAAATATAATAAAGAATTCATATTTATTATATTACCTATTTGTTAATGGTTCAACCTTAAATAACATTTTAAATACACAAAAAAATACTAATGAAAAATTATTAGAGATTTTTAATTTTAATAAAGTTGATATGATTAATAATAATTTTATTGAAAATAACTTATTTAATTTTTTTTTATAATTTATATATTAGAAATAATTATGTGTCTTCTTTTATCCCTTTTATTTATTACCTTTTTTTTTTTTTTTTTTTTTTTTTTTTTTGTATTGTAGAATATATTTTTACTTTTACTCTTTTTTAATTGCATCTTTTTTTTATGTTTGTAATTATTTTTATATTCATTTATTATTCTATTATTTTTCATTTTAATATATATATAAAATTATATTTTTTTTTTTTAAATATATGAAACAAATTCTATAGATCATAAATAGCTAGTTATAAATGTAGTCTTTGATTTATTTATAGATATAATTATATTTAATTATTTTTATTATTTCCATTATATATTCCAAATTACGTTTGTTACAAAAATAAATGTAATAGAAATTTTTAATAAATGGTTTTTCTTTGATTTCATTATAATCTCCAATTCTTACGATAATTTTTTTTATAGTGTTTTTTTTTTTTTTTTTTTTTTTTTTTCATAAAAGAAAAATGAAAAAAATAGATGATAAAATTTTTCATGAAATAAATAATGAAGAGGAATATAAAAAATTATTTGATGAAAAAAATGATATTCTTTATATAATAGACATTTATACAGAGTGGTGCGGACCCTGTATTTTCACTTTTGAAATAATAAATAAGATTTATAAAAGTAATTTAATTTTCTCAGAAAGTGTAAAAATACTTGCTATGTGTGCAGATAAAATTGCGTCATTAAAAAATTATGATAATAATTCCAAACCTTTTTATATAATAATAAAAAATGGAGAAATTATTCAGCAAATTCAAGGATGTAATACACCACGTATTTTCTCTCTTATTGATGATCATTTAATAAATAAAAAGTTGAATTAAATAGGTACATATTCAAAATATATGAATTAAAAAAAAAAAAAATAATAATAATAAAATATATAAATTATATTTAAAATTATAGAAGCAATATAATGGTGTAAATAAATATGACTACATAAATAATTAATACAATGATAATAATAATTATTATTTTTATATTAATATTTTTGTAGAAATAATTATTAGAATATTAAAAAATTATATAAAAATAATAGATTTCATTAAAATTTTAAAATATATATGTATTACCTATATATATTAAAAAATTTTACTTATGAAACCATAATTAAAAATAGATTTCTAATATATAAAGTTGTGTCTTCTTTTTATACATATAGAATTTTTTCCATTTTTATAAAAATTCAAAAAAATTAAATAAATAAAATAAAAGTTATATTTCGTATTGAAATATTACATTAAAAAATATTTTTTATTGATATAATATTTTTATACAACTTAATAATTTATTATTATTTTGTTATTTTTTTCTACTGATATGTTTATTAGTTTCTTAAACATTCATTTATTTCATTAATTATGTTTGATATAAATAATATCTGAGAGTTTAATTGATCAATTTTTTCGGAATACATACTTCTAACTTGTTCAGGTACTTTTTTTTCATAATTTGGATCATTTACTTTTTTTAAATATGAATCTAGAGATAACTGTAATTTTTTTTTTTTGTTTATCATATTATTTAATAATGGATTAAGATACTCTTCAGTTGATTGAACATATATAATAAATTTATGTGAAACAATATCTTTTAAGCATTTTTTAATTTTAATTTTTAATTCATCTGATAATTCTTCAACATTATAATTAATAATATCTAAGGAAGATAATTTTGCTAACACTTCAATTTTATTTTTGACTTTTTCAATAAATTTTTCATCTTCTTTATTTTTTGCAGCAATGAAACAATTTAATTTGGTTTTAGGTGGAATTTCAAGATTTGATATAAAAGATCTAAATTGTTTTACAATATTCATAAAAGTATTCATTTCAGTATTTATTTCTTCATTATTCCATAATTCTACATAATCTGGATAATTTGCTATTGAAATAGAACTAAATTTATAAGGATCAGCTGCAATTTTTTGATATAATTCTTCTGTTATAAAAGGAGAAATAGGATGTAAAAGTCTTAAAGCATAATCAAGACAGGCATGTAAAGTTTTATTTGCTTTATAACCATCTAAATTTTCACTTGATTTTATACAATTATCGAAGTAGTCATTATCACTATTTGTATGATCTTCTCTTTTTTCATTATTTATTGAATTTTCAATTATTAATTCTTTTTTTGAAATTTCTTGAGAATCTGTATTTAGACGGGGTTTTATTAGTTCTAGATAAATGTCACATAAATCATAAAGCCAAAAATTGTAAGAAGCAAATGCAACTTCTGAAAAATTGTAGGTATTAAAATTCTCATTTGCACTTTTTATATAGATGTTTAATCTATGTAATATCCATTTATCTTCCCAATTAAGAGATTTGACATATTCAGGTTTGTAAAGTAAAATATTGTAATTGTCATAATTATCAGGTAATGTTTTTAAAAAAAATTTTACAGCATTCCATAACTTATTGCAAAAATGTCTATATCCAATAATTCTATTAATATCTAAATTTACATTTCTCCCTTGCTTTAAGTAAGTTATTAGACCGAATCTTAAGGCATCTGTACCACATTCAGATATACCTTTAGGAAATTCTTTTTTTTGCAATTCTATAGCTCTTTTAATTTCTTTTTCTGGTAAATTTCCTTCATATAATTTTTCATGTAGTTTTTCTAAGCTAATTCCCTCAATAATATCTAAAGGATCTACAACATTTCCTTTACTTTTACTCATTTTTTCTCCTTTAGAATCTCTAATCATAGCATGTAAATATATAGTATTAAAAGGTAATTTTTTTGTTAAATGTAAAGAAACCATTACCATTCTAGCTACCCAAAAAAATAATATATCTTGCCCAGTTTCCAAAATAGTGTTAGGAAAATAATCATTTAAGTCTTCTGTATTTTCTGGCCATCCTAATGAACTAAATGGAAGTAAAGAAGATGAAAACCATGTATCTAAAACATCTTCATCTTGTATTAATTCAAAATTTTTGTCTTCTCCTATTAATTTTTTTGCTTTTTCCATACTTTCTTCATAAGATCTACCAACTACCCATTGCTCTTTTATATCTTCTATATTATTACATTTATCGCTGTTATTTTTATATTCATCATCCTTTAATATAATTTTGTAGGCAGGAATTCTATGACCCCACCATAATTGTCTTGATATACACCAATCCTTTACATTTTCCAACCAATAAAACCACGTATTTATGTGATGACTTGGTATAATTTTTAGATCATCATTTTTCACATAATTAATAGCTTGTCTAGCTATATCAGAACAGTTTAAATACCACTGAGGAATTAGCATATATTCTATAATATCATTGGTTCTGGAACATAAAGGTAAAAACATGCTATTTGGAACTTTATCAGATAACAAATTTAATTTTTTTAATTCTTCTTGAATTTTAAATCTACATTCAAATCGATGCAAACCTTCAAATAGTTTTCCACCATTTTCATTTATATGTCCATCTAAGGTAAAAATATTAATATGTTTCAAATTATGCCTTTTCATCATTTCATAATCATTTTTATCATGTGCCGGTGTAATTTTGACTGCACCTGTACCATAGTCCATATCAACAGCATTATCAGCTATAATAATCATTTTTCTATCTGGAATAAAAGGGTGAATTAATTCTTTTCCTACTAAATGAGAATATCTCTTGTCATTAGGATGAACTGCTACTGCTACATCTCCTAACATAGTTTCAATACGAGTAGTTGCAATTTCTATTTTTTCTTCACTATCTTTTATTTCATAAAAAAATTTATATAAAACACCAACCTCCACTAAGTGATCAAAGGAAGGAATTTTAATTTTTGTTGGTTTTTTAATTTCTTCAAGATTAACTTCAATATCTGACAAAGCTGTTTTTAAATGAGGGCACCATGCAACTAGCCTATTATCTCTATATATTAATCCACTTTCATAAAATTTAATAAATGCTTCTTTTACAGCAATAGATAACTTATCATTCATTGTAAAATATTCTCTTGACCAATCAACAGAAGCACCAATTCTTCTTATCTGATTATTAATTTTATTTCCATGTAAGTTTTTCCATTCATGAATTTTTTTAACAAATTCTTCTCTTCCGTAATCGTGTCTTATTTTTTTTTCTTTTTTATAGAGCATTTTTTCAACAATTGTTTGAGTTGCTATTCCTGCATGATCCGTTCCAGGTATATAAAGAGTTAAATAATTTTTCATTCTTTTATATCTAACTAAAGAATCTTGAATAGCAACTGTTAAGGTATGACCAATATGTAAAGTACCAGTAATATTAGGTGGTGGCAATATTATAACAAATTTTTGGCTATTTTTATTACTTATTAATTCCTTTTTAGGTTTAAAATAATCATTTTTCTCCCAAAAATCATACCATTTTGATTCTACTTCCTTCGGATCGTATGCATCTTTCATGATTTTTAAATTTTCTTTTAAATTTTTATTCTCCATATTTTTTAATTTATTATATGTATACAATTTGTTTTTATAATGATGTATTTTTTTTAAGAAAATTTTTATCATACAAAAATTAAAATAAATTACAACAAAACATAAATAAAATATTCTAATATTATTACAAATGTTTATTTTGTATTAATTGTAACAAAATGTTATTTTATAAATTTTTTTTTTTTAAATTCAAACATAACTTTTATAATATATATATATTTTTAATTGTAAAATCCTATAAAAGTTAAATATACATATATTATTCAGGACTCTTTTATTTACTATTATTTAGATATACATTTTCCTTACATTATTTTACTTAGTTTTTCCAGTTCTATATATTATAATTTTATAAATTTATATTTTTTTTTTTTTAATATATTTATTAAACTATTCAATATTTGTGTAAAATTAATTATTTTTTTCTTCTTAAAATAATAAAAATATTTTAATTTTTAAGGCTTAATACTACATATTTGAAAATTTAAACAAAATTTTATGGATATACTAAATATTTGTGTCAAATTTTTTTAATATTTCTTTTTAACTTAATGTTTGAGATGTTTCTTCTTTTAAAATTACAAACTAAAAAATCGTTGTTAAAAATATTTGAAACTATTTACTTAAAAAAAGTAGTAATTTTCAAAATATAACATACGACAAGATAAAAATAAATGATAAAAAATAAAATTATTTTTATTAATAATGTATCGAAACTTTTATATTTTTTACTTTATTATGTTTAATTTTTTCTAAATGGTTAATTCTATATATATATATTCATATGAATATTTTTTTTAAAAAAAGAATTTTTATATAATTTTGCTTTTTATTTGTAAGCTAAATTTTTTAAAAAAATCTTAAAAGAAAAAAAGAAAATTTTATCTAAAGACATGTTCTATTTTTATTAAAATATGCTTACTAAAAAATTTTCTTTTATTATATATGAAATCATTTGAAGATAGTCTCCTAATAAATTATCACTTTATATTAAGTTATTTAAAAAAAAAAGATGATGAGAACAATTTATGAAACAAAAATAAAAAGTAAACATGAAAATCTTAATAAATATACATAAATAGATGTAGAAAGTATTATTAAAAAAAAGAAATACGGAAATACTCAAGTAATGGAACTAAAAAAGATTGCATATTTTTATGTAAATGTCAAATTTTATTTCATTATTATTATTAATATTAATATTTTATTTTATTTTAATATAAGTTATGAAGAGATTCATTAAAATTATTTTTAAACATATAGTAATTGCTTTCTTATAGTTGAACATTTTGAAATCTTTTTTGTAAATATTCATAATTAATACTACCATTTAAATTACTTCTTCTTTCAAAACCAAGTATATTTAAATTTTGATCTGTATTGGATTTATTATTTGAGTTATTGATTGTAATAATAGGATAAATAAAATTATCTTTATTAATATTAATACCACTTGTATGATATTTTATAGGATCCACTTCGTTAATCAAATTTTTAAAATTATTATAATTATTAAGACACATATCAGGAAGAATATTATTAAAAAAATTATTTTTACTTATATCTCCATTAATTCCATCACTTTGTGAATTAATAACAAAATTATTGAAGGGAAGATGATTAGTTATCTTAAAATTATTTGCCATATTATTTCTTAAATTATTCGTATTATATAAATCTTTATTTATATTTTCAAGTTCTATGTAGTTTATATTATTAAAATTGATATTCTCATTATTTATATTTTTATTATTTGCAATATTAATATTATTTTTTAAATAATATGTGCTATAATTTTTAAAATCATCTTTACTTTTTTCGTATAACAAATTTTTGTTTGTATTATAAAAACTTTTTCTTAATAAGTTTGTATTCGTGAAATTCACATTTTTATCTACTCTTAACTGATCACATATTTTATTATTTATAGTATTTTCTACTGTATTTGGATAACTATTTTTAATAGAATAATGTACATTTGAATTATTTAATGAATTATTTAAATCAGGAATATTAAAATTATTGAAATTGTATATATAGTTTATATTTTGATTATTTATTTTAGAAGTAGAAAAGATATTTGGATTTTTTAATCCTTCAGATATGATACTTGAACTATTACCTTCATCAATTTTCTTATTAATATATTCCTTGTTTTTATTTTTTTTATATTTTCTTTTATATTTTGTATTCGAAGCATTTATATCTCCGTTTTTAGTTTCATTTTGAAGAATTATATGATTTTCTTTATTTATTATATTATTTTCATTTTTAATATTCATTAAGGAGATATTCTTACATTCTTCTAAACTATTAAAAGAAAAACTTTCTTTTTTATCATTTGACTGCAGTGAGAAATGGTTAGGCATGGCATCTTTTCTATCTATATTAGCATTATGAGAAGTTATAAGATTATTTAAAAAATTATTGTCTTCATAATTTTTTTCTAAATTACCTTTTTTAATGCTGTCTGTAACTTTTTTACAAGTTTCATTTTTACTATTTTTTTTCTTTTTATTCAAATTTCCTAATTTTTTATTATTTAGTATATGGTTATTCCTAATTTCTTTTAGAGCTTTTACAGTTATTTTTATGCCATTTTTTTTTAACATATAAATCCATTCCTTTTTATAACCATTCCTTTCACATGCTAATAGACAATATTTTTCAGCTACATTCCATACCCCTAATATATATGCGGCTCTATATAAATCTCTTATCTTCATATCTCCAAATGTCGATCTAGAAGTGGGATATAAATTATTTGATGATAATAGTTCATCGCACTTTTTAACATTTGTCATTCTTTTTTGATGTAATGCTTTTCTTAATATTGCTCTTCCATTTGTTCCTATTGGTATATCAAATCCAGGATACCATTCAATCAAATAATTATTTTTTGATTCTATATTAAAAGAACTATCTATATTATTTGATAAATTATCATTAATAGAATTATTTAAACCTTTTGATAAATTATCATTAATAGAATTATTCAAATTATTTAATGAATTATCATTAAAAGAATTATTTAAACTAGTAGTTAAATTATCGTTAAAATTATTATTTAAACTAGTGGTTGAATTATCGTTAAAATTATTATTTAAACTGGTGGTTGAATTATCGTTAAAATTATTATTTAAACTGGTGGTTGAATTATCGTTAAAGGAATTAATCATATTATAGGATGAATTATCATGAAAAGAACTTTTTAAATTGATTGATGAATTATCATTAAAAGAATTATTTAAACTATTAGATAAATTGTCGTTAAAAGAATTATTTAGATTAATTGTTGAATTATCATTAAAAGAATTATTTAAATTATATGATGAATTATTGTTAAATGAATTATTCAAATTATTTGATAAATTATTGCTAAAAGATTTGTTCATATTATTTGATGAATTATCATTTAACAAATTACATAAATTGTATGATGTATTTTCATTGAAGGAATTATTAAAATTGTTTGATAAATTATCATTAAATGGATTATTTGAACTTTCTGGTGGGTTATTGTTAAAAATATTGTTCATATTATTAAATGAACTATCATTGAAAGAATTATTCATATTACATGATGAACTATCATTAAAAAATTTATCCAGATTATTTGATAAATTATCATTAAATTTATTATTTAAATTGATTGATGAATTTTCTTTAAAAGATTTGTTTAAATTATCATGTGAATGATCATTAAAATAATTATTTGAATTATTTAATAAATTATCATTAAAAGAGCTAGTAAAATTATCTTGCAACTCCAAGTTAAAAGAATTAGTCATATTATTTCGCAATTCAGAATTAAAAGAATTGGATATATTATTTTGTTTTTCATGCTTATAAATGTATATGTTTTTCAAATTATTTTGAGAATCGTAGCTAAAAGAATTATCCAAGTTATTTTGTGGTTCGTATTTAATTGGGATATTAAAATTATTATGAGAATTATAATTAAAAAAACGATTTATAGAAGTTTTATTATTTAAATCCCTTTTTATCACTTTACTTTTTAAAGAATTATCTTTTGAACAGTTTATTTCCATTTCTTTTTTTAAGTTATTTTGAAAATTTTCTTTTGAAGATTCTTTCCTTTTTATGTTGAAATTTTTATCATCAGATATATTTTGTACTTTATATTTTAATGAAGAATCCTCTGGATAATTTTTATTAGTTTCTTCATTTAAAGTAACATTATATTCATCTCTTTTTTTTTTTATATTTTCATTTATAAATGAATTACCTTTAGAACACTCATTTGTCTCTTGAGACTCTTCAATACTATTTGTATTTTTCAATTCATTTCTAAGATAATTTGATATATTTAATTTAAATAATTTTAAATTCATATTATTTTCATTATTAAAGTGATTATTTCTAATATTATCATCTTGAAGTTCATTATACATTTGTTTTTCAATTTTTACATCTTCTAATTTTTCTTGAATAATATCTGTTTTCATTCTAAAGAAATTTAAATTCTCATTATCATTTTCACTTTTGTCAATATTTATATTTACATTCATATTTTCATCTTTCGTATTTTTATTACTATATGAATTAATATTTTGTAATATATTGACATCTAAACAATCGGTATTTTCCTTTTTCATCATGTCATTATATATAAAACTATTTTTGTTGTTTTCTGTTTTAATAAAATATTTTTCTTTTTCTTCATTCTCCTCCTCTACTTCTTTTTTGATGTAAATAAATTCTTTTTTAATTTTAGAATCTTGAAATAAATTGAATGTTTTCTGTGTAATATCTGAATTATTTAAATTATAATTCGAATAACTCAAGTTATCACATTTTTTTAAATATCCGTTGTTCTTATATTTAATAATATCATTTTTACATTTTTCATTTTTACATATATATGTTTCTTCATCTCCACATGTATTTTTAATATAGACGTTATTTAATATATTTTTATTATGAAAATATATTTTTTTTTTATCATTATATTCATTATTTTTTGTAATATTTATTCTTTTTTTGTCATTGTTAATATATATTTCTTTTATTGAATTACCAATACTATATCTTTCATTATCATATTCTAAATTTTTATATAATTGTTTTCCAACGTTTTTTTTTGTTTGTTTATCATAATTATTTGATACTTTATTATCAAATTTACTTAATTTCATAATATCATTACTGAAATAAGTTTCTTCTTTATGTTTATTTTCTTCTTTGATACAATAATCCAACTCAAGGTTTTTTAAATAATTATCGTTACTTCTTTTAGTTTCGTTATTTTGCATTTTACATTGTAAGTTATTTTCTAAATTATTCTTTATATGAATATTATCTGAATTGATATTTTCTTCCCTATTAGTACTATATAACATATTTAAATTATTTATATTATTAATTTTATATGTGTTGTTTGAATTATTAGCTTCACTTAAATCATTATTTATATTTATTATATTATATATATTATTGTTACTATCTTTCATATTTGAACCATCTCTACTTACTAATTTGTCGTATATATTATTATCTTCACTATTACTAAATGTATTGTAATAACTGTTCTTTATATTATCAAGATTTACATTGTTTATATTAATAATGTCATTATTTTTAATATCTATATTGAACGTATTTATTTTATCTGAATGATTTTGAAGGTTTTCATAGGAAAATAAAATATTTCTTTCAATTTTTTTTAAATCACTTTTTTCAGTTTTACTTTTATTATTGTCATTTTTAGTAATGTTTTTGCATAATAGGAAATTTTTTATATTTTTATTTTTATCATTCAGAAGGTTCTCATTTTCAGATATGCATCCATTCATATTTTTAAAATTGCTGTTCTTAATATTTAGTAATTTTATACCTATTTCATCTTTATCATTTGTATTATTATTCATATTATTATAAATATCCTCTAAATAAGCATCATTATTACTTGTTTTGTTCTCATTGTTATTATGATATAAATCAAAATTATTTGTATTTGTCATATTAATTTCTATAGAATTTAAATATTCTTTTTTAATATTGTTGTAATCATTTTCACAAGTGTAATTATTACTATTTTTATCATATATATCTATATTTATTGGTTGGTTATTTTTTATATCAATATCATTCATAGTATTAATCTCTTTATATGAACTATTTGTTCTATTAGAATTATTAACATTTTTATTTTTCTCAGTACTATATTTAATGTCTAAATTCATTTCATCATTCAAAATTTTGTTATTATTAGTTGAATTATTAATTATAAAATTATCATTAGAATAACCATTAGACATGCTATTATATATATTGTTACTTTCATTAGTCAAACTTTCATCTAAAATTATTTTATTTCTTTCATTATTAGATACAAAACTATCAAAATTAATAGTATAAAATTTTTTATTAAAGCTAATATTATCATTAATTTCATTATCATCATTAATATTGTTTTCATGCTTATTTTCCATCTCAAAATTTTCATTATTATAAATATTTTTATTTTCATATATGTATGCAATATTATTTTCTTTAAAGTTTTTAATATAATTTTTATTATAATTTAATTTGGAACTACTTAAATAAATATTATCTAAACTAGATAATTCATTTTTTTTATTATTTCTTAAAGCACTCAAAAAATTATTCTTGTAGTATATATCTCCTTCTAATTCATTGCGTATTTTAAAGAAATTATTTTTTTTATCAGATTTATTTAAATTGATTAAATAGGTTATATTTTCAGATAAATTTTTTCTAGAATTAAAATTATCTTGGTTATTTTTTTCAAGAAAAAAATGATTTAAAATATTGGATGTATTATTTTTGCTTTTTTTATTATCATTGTTTTTTATATTTTTTTCAAAATACTTATAAAAATCATTTTTATTTATAAACTCATTAAAGTTATTATCATTTAATTTATTATTAATATCTCTAATAGTGTAAATGTTGTTCATTTTTTCACTCCTGTTGTTTGAATGTTCTTTGCTTTTCTTGTTATTTTTTCTTCCCTTATTTTCTCTTAAAATACTTTTTTCAACATTATTTTTTTTTTCTTTATTTGATTTTTTTGATCTTTTTATATCATCTTTTATAGGTTTTCTTTCTTTGTAGTAAATAATAGGATTATTTTTTATGTCAGAATAGTTATTAAAATTTTCACATACATCTATTTTTACATTTTTCTTTATTGATATATTTATGTTATTATTATTGGATTTATCACTTTTACTGTGAATAATTTCATAAGAATATTTAAAATTTTTTCCATTCATATATTTATTTTTGCATTTTTTAACTGAAAGAATTTCTTCATTTTTCACTTCTTTCACCTTTTTGTTATCTTTTTTATATTTTAATTCAAAAAAACATCCTTTTTTACACCAGTAAATTTTCGGTTTCAGTAAATTTTTTTTTTTATTTTCATTTATTCCTACATTTATTGTATTTTTCTTTTTTTTTTTTATTTCTATTTTATTATATGAACAAATTTCTTTTTCATCATATTCTTTACTCTCCTCTAAGTTAACACAGGTCTTATTTTCCTTTTTTTTATTAATGAAATAATTTTTTCTATTTATTTTATTAAAATTATCTTCATTTAAAATATGATTACGTGGATTTTTATCACAATTAGACTTATAATATAAGACAGCTTCACATTTGTTCTTTACATTTTTTGTATATTCATTATAATACGACAATGTATTATTGCTATTGTTTTGTGTTTCATTATCGTTTTTTCTTATAGAAATTATTTTTTCTTTATTTATAATTTTTTCATTAAATATATTGAAATAATTAAATATTTCATTATCTTTTTTTGTACTAACAAAATTATCACAACACAAAAATGTGTTGCTGTTTTTATGATTATTAGAATCTAATTTTAAGAAATTATTTTCTTCTAAATATTCTTTTAAATTAACATTTTTATTTTCCTTACAAGTATTTAATGAACATAATTTTTTAAATTCTCCATCTTTGAATATTTTTTTATTTTCTTCATTATTCATAATGTAGTTATTTTCTATATTTATTTCATCCTTTTTATCATAATTATTCTTTTTCATATTATTTTCTTCACTTTCGATTTTTCTAAAATCTCTTATTATTTTTAAATTTTCTTGTTTATTATAAAAATCATTTTTTTGAGCTACTTCAGATTTGCAACTACTTGTGCATGTAGTACTACAGGTCCTGTAAAATTTACTTTCATCTTGATTTCTGACTTTTTGTGAATAAACTTCATTAAAATATTTACTTAAATCTATTCTGTCTTCATTAATTTTTTTACTTTTTGCATATTCACAACAAGAATTATCTGAATTTTTATCATTAGACATTATTGTATCATTAGTGTCTTTATATTTATCACAATTTTTTCTTATATTTAATAATTCCATTTCTAAATTTTTTATATATTTTTTCAAAATACTACTATTTTTTACTTCGTTACAATAATATACACCCTTCTCTTCTTTTTCAGTACACATGTCTTTGCTAAAATTTTTCATTTCTACATTCGGATTATTATTATACATGTTTTCTACAATATTTACACTTCTACTTAATTGAATTATATCATTTTTCGAATCGTTAATATTTTCATTTCTACTTTTAAGATTTTTATTTTCATTATTTTGTTCATCTGGAAATCTAGAAATATTAACGTTCTTAAGTATTTTGATGCCATTATTTACTTCAATATTATTTTTATCATTAATATAAATTCTATTTCTGTAATTATTTTTGTTCTTTTCTTGATTGTAATTTTTTAAGATATTAAAAGAAGGTAAAGAAAAATTATTTTGCGATAAAAAATCTTTACAACTATTTTCATTTATGTTATTTAAATTTTTCAATTCACTGTCACTATAAAAATTCTTTTCTTTAATTACAATCTTTTCATGATTATCAATTTTTGTTGCATTCATATTCCTATTTATAGATTTATTATGAACAAATATATCTAAAGAATTAATCGATAAATCATCTACATTAAGAGAATTATTTTTAATTATACTTTTTCTTTTTTTAAGATTATTTGAATACTCATTCGAAATAAATTTTTTACTTCTTTTAATGTCATATCTTATATTATTTGTTCCTAAATTTTTAAAAGAAAAGTTTTTATATAATTTTTTAGTTCTAAAATTTTTTAAGTTTTCTACTTTTTTAGATATAGAATTATTAATTTTTTTAATTTTCAAATTTTTTGAAATCTTCATTTTTGTAATTACTGATGAAGATTCAAAGATATTTGCTCTTTTATTTTTTTCATTAAATTTATTACGATTTTTTTTTTTATTTTCATCTTTTTTCATGGGTGCTTTTTTATGTAAATTAAGTGCATTTAAAATCGTATTTTTATATAATAATATTCCTTTTATTTGAAAATTATTATAAGATGTGCAACTACAGTTAGTTGTTAATTTACTCATTTTTATGTATTTTTCTTCTTTTCTTTTCAATTTATAAAAGTCTATATCGTCACAAGATACACGATTAATTTTTTCGTAGTTTGAAGTTGAAATTAAGTTATTCTCTAAGTATTCTGATTTTGTTGATTTATTTTCAAAATCTTCAGTAAAACTTTCTTTTTCGTTTAAATTTTTTTTCTCATTTTTTAAATTATTTAAAAACAAAAAAAAATTGAAGCTACTATTTTTATTCTTGTTAAAATTTAAGTTTAGCTTTTTTAGAAATTTTATTTTTTCGTCATTTGATATTTTTAAACTATTTTTAGGTAGGTTTAATTCATTTCCCCTTTTTTGTATTTTATTATCATGATTATTAAAATTAAAATTTTCAGTATTCTCTTTTTTATCCTTTTTATTCTTATCTAGAATATTTACATCAATTTTATGTTTTCTTCTTTTTAAAATATTGGATATATTAAAATATTTATTTAATAATTTTTTGGAATTTAGATAGGATGATTTCCTATTTTTTACTCTTTTACAAATATTAATTTTTTTATTATTTTCAATAATTCCACAAGGTATATCATGTTTAATTAAGGGAAATTTTTCTATTTTTTTTTTTATTATATTATCTTTTACTTTTTTTGTTATATCTTTCTTTATATCTTCCTTCTTTTTTAGTGTACAATTTGATAATTTATAAAATTTATTATACTTAGGAATAATATAATTTGAAAATGTATTAATATTAATTTTATCATAAAAATAGTTTTGAAATACATTTTTAAATTTATTATTATATCTGCAATTTTCCTTGAATAAAAAGGAACCGTTATTTTCATAATATAAAAATTTATTAAATTCTTCTATTTCTTTTTTAAAATTTTTATCAAATATACTGTATGTATTTCCTAAATCATATAAAATATGGTGATGTATTCTTTTAGTCTCATTTTTTGTATTTAATTTATTTTCATTAAAATAACTATTACATGCACAATGCAGTTTTAGTTTTTCTAAAAAAATTAAATATTTGTCTAATTGATCACAACATTTTGATTCAGATGCGTACATCTGATTTGAACGGTAACACATTATTTTTTTTTTTTTTTTTTTTTTATCTCTAGTATAATAAATTAAAGAATAATATAATAATAACTAAAAAAAAAAAAAAAAAAAAAAAAACAAACAGAAACAGCACTTCCTACTTACGGGATTAAGGGCATGCTAATCTTTTTATCTTTCTCAAGAGAGATAAAAAAGTTAAAGATAATTATTAAAAAAAAAATAAAAGTATAATAAATAAAAGAAAACAAAATAGAAAAAAAAAAAAATGATATAGAAATATGAAAAAAAAAAAGATAAATAAATAATAATTTATAGTTTTTTTTTTTTTTTTTTATTTGTATGAGCTAATAGTAGTATTTTTCACATGAAATACTGTAGAAAAGTAAGACAAAAAATAATGTATTTTCTATTATTGGAAGGAAAAAATTATTCTAAATAAAATATAATAAAATAATTTAATAGTATCAAAAAAAATTTAATTTTCTAGAATTATCTTAAAAAGATAAGCTATTTTTATGATCTAAAATATTTTTACGATCATTTTTTTTTTTTTTTTTTTGATGTACATACAACGCGTAATACAATAAAAAGCAAAATTAGAAAAAAAAAAAAAAAAACTCAATTTAAAAAGAAAAATAAACTATCAGTAAGGAAATATATATACTTTAAATTATCCTAAGTACATCTATATATACATATGTGCAGATGTATATATTTAATATAAATGTCAATAATATAATAAATTTCTTTTAAATTTGTAATTATACAATGAAATATTCTTTTTCTTCTTAAAGGGAAAATTCTTCTATTATTTTCTTTTGTATCCTATTTATTATTATAACTTACACATAATTTTTTAATTTGGACCTTTATTGAATATATATAAAACCATCAATATTAGTAAAAATATATTTATAGGAAATGAATACTGCAAAATTATTTTGTTTGTTCTTTCTACTTATGCTTATAAATGTAATTAAAGACACAAAATGTTCTGATGAAAAGGAAAAATTTTCTCAAAATATAAGTTTTTTACAATCAAAAGTATAAGATAACATTTTAATAATTTCTTCCTTTTTCCTTAAATTTTTAATAATTGATATCTTAATATATTAATAGGATTACCTATGCCAATTTTTTTTTGTCAAAAAAAAAAAAATTACCTTTATTCCTTGTAGAAAATTAAATTAAATTTTTATTTCATTTTTTTTAAATTTCTTTTTTCCCATATAGATAAAAAATGGTGAAAAAAATATGCCTGGTATTTTTGACTTATTTTCGGTGAAACCAAATTCAGCACAACCAAATTTCAATTTTTTCTTAGAAGAAAATAGAAATGTAATATATAAGATTAAAAAATTCAAATTAAAATTAAATTGATATATATAAAAAAAAAAAATAAATAACTTAATTTTTCTAATATCTACTTTTTTATTGAGGAAGTTACTTAAAAAATTTTTCATTATTCAATCCATATATATATATATATATAACCTACAAAATTAAAATTTTTTTTTTTAACTTTTTTCTTTTTTCTATTTTAGTTTTGGTTGCGTCGTACTTTAAATGATGAAAGTAAAACAAGATAAAATAATATTTAAAGTTTTTAAAAATTAAAAGAAAAATTTATATAAAATTTTAAAAATAAATTGTTTTTTTTTGAAAAAATATATATTCATATTTCATATTTTTAGAAAATAGAAATATAAGAAGAAATTTTGCTGATTTTCAAGAATTAAGACAAAATGATTTACTAAGATTTGAAGAGTTAATGATTATACAAAATGAACAAATAAATATAATAAAAAATATAATTTATTCTATTTAGTAAAATGTAAGAAAGTGTATTTATTATCTTTAATGAAAATATCTTTCTTTTTTTTTTTCTTTGTTTTTAAATAATAGTACAATTGTTAATTAATTTTTATTTTGTTTTTTTTGATTGCTACACTAATCAATTTTATTACCATATATTAGCTTTTATTTATTATTTTTTTTTTTTTCTTCTTGAGTCTTTTAAGCATATTTACAAAAGAAAGCATAAAATTTAAATTATTTAATTATCTCTTTTTTGTGAATTTAGAAAACTCAATGAGTAATAGTAGTTGATAAAGTCAACATCAATTTTTTTTTTTTTTTTTTTTTTTTTTGATATTATTATTTTTTAAAATGTAAAATTTTTTCACTCGTTGAAAAAAATAATATAAAAAAATAAAATAATAATTTTTTTTTTTATTTAATAAGTTGAAATATAAAATGAGAGGTATAAAAAAAAATGAAAGATAAAATATTTAAACAGTTATAATATAAATATTTTCTTAATTTTTTTTTTTTTTTTTTTTTTTTTATTGAAATATATTTAAAAATTTAATATTTGAACAAATGAATAAATATTCACTCCTAAAGAAGTGTAAAAATCAAATATAAATAATATATATGTTTATATTTTTTTGTTTGATTTACAAAATTTTTATAACTTCTAAAAACTATATGATATATTTTTTAAAAAACAAAAAAGAGATTATATTTAAAATAAAGATATGATGAGCATTTTAAAATAGTATTTGATCTTATAATTACAGGTTAACTAATGAAAAAAATACTGTTTTAGAGAAAAAAAAAAAAAAAAAAAAAAAAAAAAAATTAACA